AGAATGCAGCTTTAACACATGAAGCTTTGGCTTCACTCTTCAGAACCCGAGGTTGACGCCTGGTTCAGCCACACTGCTGCTTTCAACTAAGACACAATCTTTTATTATTTAGTGGGTTAAATAGTAAATCTATCCTCTGAATTGTGATGTGGTGAAATCAACTGGCACAAATACCCAGAATGTCTGTTTTTGGCTTAAAATTCTGAGCAATTAATCTTCTTCATCACATTGATGCGAAATCCAATATTACCATGAAGCAACTATGATTTTCAACATTGACCAGGATGACCTTGAGATGTTAATGGATTGCATACCTGATGGTTTAGTGGTTTTTATTCCTCTTCCGTTCTCGGTTGTCTCTCTCTCTAGACCTGTCGTCGTGACTATCCTGTCTGTCTTCTTCTCTGCAGGGTGAGACCGAGGTCCCGTCGGTCGCCGTCACTAAGTCTCCCAAAGGATCTGGCCTGGACGGGCTGGAGGTCGAGCCCGACTCCTACGACGTCCCCCTCGACCTCTCCTCGGACGAGGAGTACCTGAGCGTGGAGGAGGCCGACCCCTCGCGAGCCACCCGACTCAAGAAATCGGTCGTGAAGAGCACCGAGACCCTGAAGGCCGCCTTCTCCAAGGAGAACATGAGCAAAACCAAAGGCAACCTGGGCACCAAGTTCCACAACCTGGGCGAGAAGGTCATGCCACCAGAGCGGAGGGACAAGATGCACCAGGCCGGCGAGCGGCTGAAGCAGTCCGGCGAGCGGCTGAAGGAGAACATCGCCAAGAATGCGCCGAACAAAGAGACCTTCCGCATCAAGCTGAAGAAGGAGAGAGCCGTCGCCGAGGGCCAGGAGGGCGCCGAGGCCGAGCTCCACAACCAGGCCCCGGTGGAGGAGAAGCCGGTCGCTTACACCGAGGTCGCAATGGAAACCAAGAGGGAGGGGCCGGTGGAGGAGGAGGCCGGCGCCACCCGGATAGCTGAAGAGGATTACAGGAAGTAGATCGGATCGGACACGAAAGTGGAGTCGGGACTATGGAGAAAGCACGTGAATGCTGAGGATTTAGAGAGGTCTGTGATTGGTCGACATTGATGATGGACTATTTATTTTTGCTAGAATGTTTTAAAATGGAAGAAGTGGAAGATACGACACTGGTTATTTATGAAAATGTATTTTCAGGGTGTTGGTTCAACTCTGTCAGATGTTATCTGTTGACAGGTTTTAACAATCAAATGATTTAAACACCTTGACATGAATTCACTAAGAAAAACTATTTCAGAGATGTGAAGATGGTTCCCAGGTAACCAGGGTCACAGTGCACAGTGAGGTTTATCTGGAAGGAAAAGAAGGATGATGAATGTTGATCTTTCACCTGGATGTACATATAATATTGAACATACTGCTAAAATGGGGGGGAGGTAAAAACACAGATTTGGTGGGTGCAGGACTCAGCTGGTCTCTGAGACGCCCAGAGAGGAAACACAACAACAACGTCAGACTGGTTTCTGTGTGCAAAATGACAGGAAGGAGACTAAACTTTGACGTGCTTAAAAGCAGCACCAGCGATCGCTTAGATAGAGATTCAACAAAGTCAGGGACTTCATTACCCAGCATTCATTTGATAAACGCTGAAACAATGAGAAGTTCACGGGGCAGAGAGTTGGTCATGGAGGGCTAGAATACGGGTTAGCAGTTAGCAGATTAGCATTAAATTACAGTTACTTAAATAAAAGAGCAATAGTCAGAATGAACTGCTTTGTTTCACTGCAGCCGAACATCCACCAACACAAAACATACTTTATGTTTCTGTCTTACAGCAACGCTTTAGTGGCCACGTTTCTGTCACCGTTTATCATGAATGTAGTTCGTTTGTTTATTTGTGTAGCGTCTTTACACAACAGTGCAATTCAAAGTGCCTATTTATAAGTCAAATAGAGCACATAGACACAAGAATAAAACACATTAAACACCTTTAATTGAATAAAACGAAGTGGCCAGTTTTGATTAGTCAGCTGTTTCCCCAACTGGTCGTTGTAGCCTCGGTGGACGTTTCACCGGAACTTTTTCAATCTCTTGAGTAAATGTATAAAGTGGACGAAGGTTCAAAGGTCTGGAACCGGCTGCTTTAGGAGGACTTTATTCAAATGTAATGAAAACATGAATTCAGAGGTTAGCATTGACGTGAATGCATCGAACGTCTCTCAACCTCCTCAACTCCCTGA